TATAGCCTGTCGGCAGTATAAGATTTTAAAGGTCCAGTGGAAATTCTGTACTTCAAGTGAGGCCAATGGATGCTATATCAATAAGGTGAAAGTTCTACTCAAAGACATGACTACGTACCGGTGCACGGAGAATGAACAAAGCAGTAAATATGTGAACAATATCAGATAGAATCCGAGGAAACTCTGGGATTTTCAAAGGCTCACCAGGCAATAGTATTAGAGAATCAGAACACAGAACTTGGCCTTCAAGCGTAGCGTTAAAATCAGACTGTGACGCAAATCGAGAATGGACCAATCAAACCAAAGAATAAAACTACTAAAAATAGAAACCGCTATAATGACCAACTAGTCTCGAGGTAGACGGACCGTAAGTTGCGAATGGGCTAATAAGACTACAAGAAAGTTTACTTTCGACTGTCCAGTTAAATGAAGGATATGAGCCACACATTAGAAACTATATAACGCAAGCAGAAATATCCACTCAACTGACTGCCAAGCGCGACAAAACACCAGCACCTACCTGATCACCCACTATTAAGCGCGCTCAGGTTACCAATATTTCGACACATTTCTAATCATCAACCTGTTGTGCGTTTCCGTTGTGGTTCCGCTGATTCTGGTATGCAGACAGATCCGGTTGCAGGAAGTCTGTCGTTTCTTAGCCAGGCCACCTAGCTTGTCTGTTCGTCGTGCGCCGGGATTATGTTGGATGAGGTAATGACACCCAGTGCTGCAGCACAAGGTGCAATTTTTCCGACCTCCTAGTGTTGCGGATGACCACGTTTTGCAGAATTACTTCGTAACTTCTGGTGTCAAAAGTTGGATGGAACCCTGTCAGAAATTTTGGAAGCGTGGCGACACCTTTCTAAATAAATAGAATTCAAGATATGTTTTTCTGGATACACTTGCGTCTCATGGACTTTCACGGTCTTCTGATGTTCACTGACAGTTTTAAACACGGTTGGTTTAAGAGAGCACCTTTACAGACCACTGTGTACGTAAACTTTCTATAGAATTCAGCAGGCTTCTGCTTGGAAGTTCTGTTCAGTCAAGAGGGAGATAATTCACTCCTCGCGGAGAATTTCCTGTGTTTCAACGGATGCCCATAGATTTTAGGATACCGACCACTGTGATGGTGCTTGATGGTTAAGTTCATCCGAAGACTGTGTAAAATGGCACTTGTCCCCATCAAGTTTTTGTTATTGTTATTTGCTTTATATCTATCGAGTCTTGTATTTTGGGAATGCTTTGACAGTGCTGACTTGTTTGTCCTTGTTTATGGCCAACTGGAGATTATCCAGGGATGTAAAGACGTGATCAATGCAGACACTGAGTTGTATACATATCGTTTTTTGTCCCCGGGTTACTGCGTCCTTTGTCGGTTTAAATGAATGTATTAGTTATACTGAGTACGACAGTGGCTTTACCAAGTGCCCCTGTGATTACCACAGTCCCTTCAACCACAGTTTTCCGGACCTTGACACAATATATGTCCTGCCAGTTAAATAAAATAAATTCATCATTCCAGAACGATATACGCATAATGGGTAGACACTGGCCAGAAGCATGTTTAACTGAGGCGAAGGAAGACGCTAACGTACCATGACGACTGATTGGCTTGAATGGTGGTCAGGGTTAATAAAGCGACGTTCCTTTCGAAGATCATTGGCTGGGGCTTAGCTTATGTGCGCTATGTATCATAATACCGTCAAGCTGCATTACATTTAACTTCATACTCACTGGAAACTAGTGTTACAGGATGTACAACTGACCACTTCCTAATGGTACATCTTTACAATACGGGTTACACAGGCTGTCCTTAGAAAAAGAAGTTCCACTCCGGTAAGTATTTCAGAGTAGCTTAAATAGAAGAGTTCCCCAACAGCTGTGTGATCTGTATCCACACATGTGCTACATAGTGATTGGTAGTCGGTAGATCAACGAAAGATTATAGAAGTGCGGTCGATGTGAGCTGCAAGCCGACTAGACAGTCGGATACACCGTGCCGACCATTCCGGAAATTCGCGCTGCATAGAAGCAATTTCCAGTGGTCTTACACGCGCAACAGCCGCTTGAGATCGTTATGGCGCCTTGAATCATATCCAATACGACCGCTCAGTCAAGCATCTGTTCACTTTCGCGTTCACATAACCGGCATCCACAATAATTCCTAAGATCCCCACCAGATGGCAATGAATACAACACAAAACCTCTGTCAGGTTCAGAGTCATCCAACTTGCAGTCTAGAGGCAGACAATTAACATTATTCTTAGTTGCAGTATATTTTCTTACGCCTTGACAAACGTACAGCGCAGCGATTCTTTGGCTTGTTGGCATTAATCAGAAAGGATATTGGTACTGCAGGTCACTGCGGAGTAACAGTCACCGGGACTATTCATTCTGAAATAAGAAAACAGCACTGGAGGTGGATACAGGACATGAGTGATTGTAAAGCGAGTCAATCACACGAAGAATATCAGGATTTTTTCCTGATAACGAGCGTTTGTTAAAACCCGAATTGTGTGAGGTAGCTAGGTAGGAGTGATCAAGGAGTTGACTGTACGAAGATCTGACATAGCCGTACAGGCGTCTACCGTCTTCACTCAAACGTGGATTAACCAATTACAAAATACATGCAAGGTCGATTCTAAGCGGTGAGTGGAAACCTAGTGACTGATCGATAGGTGCAGTTCGTGTAAACGAACCTCACTATTCGATAGAGCGAATGAATCAAGCTGTATTTTTCCACCTTGCCACGTAAACAACGGGGCTTTCACGTAGTGTTAAAATTCTGGGGGCGGCCAAGTTTTTACAGTCTCTGTAAAAGTTTTTTGGCAATTGTGCATGGATTTAAAATGTCCCAACAGTTTGAAATACTGGACGGTCGGTGAAAAGAATGTAGATGACCCGATATTCTCGCTTCTTTTATTGGAAGTCCACAGTAGCGGCTTGTTTGCATGGTAAATGTTGCAGATTTGTGCCGTTTCACAGGGAAATATGGTGGGTTAACTCTTGTTGACGACTTCCTTTAGCGTTGAATTTTCAGATCTGCGGATGAAAGGTCACTAGTACGTCCAGTCCAGTCGTTCCCTATTCTCATAATGTATTCGGGTCAACCAAATCGAAACAGACTTAATACGGAGTGTTGACTTTTCTTCGTGTATTGTACTATATACTAATGCGCTTCCTGCCTAATCTCATGCTGTGCCTGAAAGTGTGAATGCTGTTTTGTGTGAGTTCCCTCTATAACCCTGCAACTTTCTCGTTTTCCTGCAACGGCTGCCACGGCTGTCGTAATATCGCCAGTAGTATGGGTCCATACTTTTCTGGTACCACTGTTGTAACCCGATTAGAATAAGGAAGACGGATAGGATTACTTCTGGTATTTGTGTGCGCATGTGTGAATTATTTGACTGAACTGAGTTAAACCAATCCCGCGAGAAAAAGTCAGTCGGACAAGAGCGGAATAAAAATGAACAGAAAATGTATGGGTGAGCTCAACTCCACTGATGAAAATCAATGCTCAGGCTCGCATACAGTTTACAGACTTTGTAAAAAGGGCGTGAACAAAGTTAGGCTTTGGGGATGTTGAGGAACATAGGTAGCCCAGATGCGCTGCTTGTTCGTTAGCCTGTTTTAGCAAGCTTACCAACTAAGTTGAGAACGTTTCATTACCAATCCAGGTGACATTCTGAGTGCGGAATCTAGTGGCTGGCGCTCCCCTGTCGATGTCACCTCGCTTAGTGATGAAATCTTTGCACTTCAACTGCAGAGCTCCGCGGACAAAGTAAAAACCAGGTTATAAGCACATTCCGTCACGAAGGGACTGGATCTTACCGTGGTATGGCGGTTTGTGTACCTCGACGACCCACCGAGGTATAGTGGAGGTTGTCCGCGCGACACTCACAGAGTCTCTCATACCAGGTTGGTCCATGATAGAGGTTTGATGAACACAGTCTTCTGGCCCTCCAGGTTGGGGGTTGGAACATGTATGGCGATGCGTTCCGTAAAAATGGTAATGCACTTGCATTTCCAGCTTAAGACCGCTGCCTTGCGGTCAGGCTTTTGAGCTAAAGGTTTTGGTTGGGGACCTTAATTGCCCTCCTGTCTAGGTGTGGGTGCCCTGGCAATGTCTCAGCCCTCGTACAACCATGACATACACAACTAACAATACTCTTATGCCACGTCGGCCGTCGCCTGGTATCATCAGCCGGGTCGCCTTACTTGCTGCATACAGCAGGGCAGGTAAGCGAAAACATGCTACTGCTGACGTTTCCCTTCTTACACTTTCACGTTTTCCATCTTTCACCCTCCCCCACCAAAATTTGAATATTTTCTCCACAGGTCCCAGCTCTAGGACTGACCGTTCTGCTCGCCCTGCATCACACTCAGCTGCAGCTTCTTCACGCCCGAGTTCAGTTATAACCCTAAACACTTCGAAGTCTGTTTTCAAACCCAGGAGGCCTGTCTACCTAGCCACCTCTAATGTTCGCACACTGAAGCAAGTAGGTCAACAGGTGGCTCATGCGCATACACTGGATTCCCGCTGTATTGATGTATGTTGTCTATCAGAAACAAGAACGCAGGACGCAAGTACTGTAATCGAACTGACTGCCCCCCGCTCTCTTCCAGGTTCCGGCTGCGCACCTCTGGTGATGCAGACGCCGCTGCAGCTGGTTGTGCTGGGGCGAGTATTGTACTGAGCTAACGAGCGGAAGTGTCCATACTTGAATGGATACCCTTTGATAGTCGCCTTAGTATGGTACAGTTGGCAACTTCTGTCTGTCTGCTTACGAACAAACTGATCGTAACACTGAATCTGCCAAGGACAGTTTCTATGACGCTCTATGTGCCCTTATGCAGCAGGCTAAAAAGCTTAGATATCGTTATGGTTGCTGGTGATATGAACACCCAGGTAGGTAGACTAAGCGATGCTGAGGCCCGATTGGGTGGTCATCTTGGTTTGGACACGAGACGCACGGACAATGGAGGCCGCTTACTTTAGATGTGTGTCGATCACAGGCTGTTCCTTTGCAGTACGAATTTCCGGAACAGCGGAAATCGCTTGACAACCTGGCGCCCACCAACAAACCAGCGCCGAATCCAAGTAGAACTCCACCGTCATTTATCGATGGTGGGGGTCGATCACCGTCTGCCGCTTCTTCTGGAACGCCAGCATGGACTCCGACCGTGTACTTGTACGCTGCTGCTTTTCACTGCGTTTTTCAGGTGTACGCAAATTGCGCACACCTTACTCATCCAGTGAGAAGGCAGTGGACCCAGAAGTCAAACGAAACTATTAAGATCAGCTCTTCGAATGACCGCCGGACGGTACGGTATCGGATATAAACGGCCACTGGGAAAAAATATCCAAAGCGCTACCCAAAGCCGGAATGTCTGCTTGCGGTACAACCCAGCCAACCCCATCCTAGCACTGGATTTCTGATAGGACCGTGTCTTTGCTGGAGACCAAGTGACAGATTCCACCTGGCCATCACCACAACTCCACGCGGCGCATCATCGGACGCCAGGTGAAACTGAGTGTCTGCGCAGACCGAGAAGCTTGGTTGACCCGAAAGGCCGGAGAAACTGAAGATGCAAAGAATGCTGAAAACGTGCGCGAATTGTTCCATTCTATTCGTTCGACTAATTCTCGGAAACCTCTAGCTATCGAAATTTTCAGGGACCAAAATGGCTCCCTTATATGCAGCAAAGCGGAACGTTTGGATTGCTGGACACTCCGAGCGGCAGTTCAGCTGGCCATCTGCTACATCCTTCAACAGAAAGGTAGACCGTAAATATGGAGCCGGATTCAGTCTGAGAAGTGTCCGAATGTATTTCTCCACTCAAGCATCATCGTACTGCTGGTCCTGACGACAATCCACCTGCTCTTTTCAGGGATGGCGGTGGATTCCTCAGCCAGTGCCTGTCTAGCCTATTTGGGTCTATCTGGGAGACAAATGAAGTGAATCGATAGTAGTACCCATTTTCAAAAAGGGTACTCGCAGTGAATGTAGTAGAGTAGTAAGTAGTAGAGGTGCTAGTTTGACGCCTTTTGTGACAGGGCTTCAGACATCACTGATTCTTTGTCGTCTTACGGTCGCACGCGAAGCCTTGACTCGTAAGAATCAAGCGGGATTTCGACTGAGTAGAGGTCGCGTTGGCTACATCTTCACACTCCGTCAGGTGTTAGAGCAACGCCACATGTGCAGACAATCCACAATCCTGGTATTCCTTGACTTCACGGGTGCGTTTGATTCTGTTGATCGACAGGTTCTGTTAACTAGACTTGCTCAACAGGGTATGCCCCAGAAGTTTGTAAACATAATCCGATCTCTATATTCACATACTTCTAGGTGGGTGAGAATGTACGGTGAGCTCTCCAAAAGCTTCCCTACAAAAAGTGCTGTGATGTCCACCCTCTCCATTCTTGTTCAACTTTGTCAGTGATGAAATATTGAGGCGGTCTTCAAGGCCTCGGTGATCAAATTGTTGCTGTTGAGGGCCTTGTCGATTTGGAGTACGCATATCGCATTGCCTTAGTCTTTGAAGACCAAATCGAAGCACAAATCTTGTTGAATAAACTGACCACAACCATACCATCTTTCGGCATGCGCCTTGTACTTTTAAAGTGCAAAGTCATGCCTCAGAATGTGGAGTCTGCGAACATCCTTTACAATTCAAGAAGCATTGCTGGAGATAGTAAAAAATTTCATATACATCGGTAGTTGTATTAGCTCTGACGAAAGTGTGTCTGATGAAGTCAGTGCAAGAATCTCAAAGGCTGGAATCACGTTCGCTAATTTGCGTCACTTGTGGTGTCAAAAAGGCATCTCACTGGGTCTTAAAGTTCGTGTGTACCAGGCTACAGTAAGGGCTGTGTTGTTGTATGGGTGCGAGACATGGCCTCTTCGGGTAGATGATGTGAGGCGTCTTCAGGTTTTAGACCACCGATGCCTCAGAAGCATGGCTGGTTTTGGATGGCGTCAGTGTGTTAGAAAAAAGGTGATTAGAAAACGGGTATTTGGTTGTGCGGCAGGTACTTCAAACCGGGAAAACATCTGGCACCACCAAGTACGATGGCTCGGTCATGTGCTACGCATGCCGAAACACCGTCTACCGAGACGAGCGTCGTTCTCCGTGCCCTCTTTAGGATGGCGCAAACAGCGAGGTGGACAGCACATGACTTGGTAGAAAGAGATCACGAAGTGTTTGGGTGTTGTTGGTGTTGTGGGCCTTCCAGGATGGGGTCTCCATGACCCCGTCTGTGCTTGGCTGGAGAGGTTGCAAGAAATGGCGACTAATCGGCGTCAGTGGCGTTCGTGTTGTCAGTTTCTTTGTCACGTTCTCTGGATAAATCCAAGATCGTTGTCCGTTTTGGAAATGGTCGGGATTGTCAATCCTGTCGACAGGCTTTTTTGTGATAAATTTCCACTAACTGAAAAATGCCTAGGATGGATAGTAAGTTCACCACTAACTGATCAAATGGACTTGGCATCAAGAATGGAAGATGAAAATGTATTACAGATGGTGAATGTATATACGTTCACAAGCGCGATTCAAGGCGAACGACATCCTCGAAAGAGCGTGTGATTGATTTACTATCCTTTAGTAACGGTTAGATATAGTGGACCGGAGGTTTCAGTAGAGGCGTGGCTTTGTTTACCTTCCTTAGCCTATGTAGCAAAGCAACCGAGCTGAATATACCACTAGTTAGTTGATTTGTTTGCTGCTTTTGTTGCTTTATTTGCAATTGTGAGGGACTTTGCACCATCATAGCGTCTACATCTGGAGAGTAAAGAGTGGAGAATCCCTAGTCAGTCTTTAATTTGAAAGCCCTACGGCAAGTTACCGACATTCAGTGCATGACTAATAAGCCCAGATTTTCTGGTATTGTAAAAACTGTTTGACCTTGGTAAGCATGTTCTCCTGGACTGACGAAAGTCACATCAGTGGAAATTTGGAGCATATCAGCGTTCATATCCCAGTGACTGCGGTAACTACAGGATTATCCATCGTGGGTCGGCCTACTAAGACTTCAATATACCTGACTGAATACTGTGGGGATTAACGAGGGCAAAACCTGATTTAAATAACAATGAGAGTATTTCACAAAATGGAAGACATTTGCAGGGGCCTTGGGTTGTGGGCTCAACGTTGGAACATGATTCGATTAGTTCGGTGCTGAATTCTATTCGACCAAGTAGAATATAGTGATGGATGACTAATGAACAAATCTTACTACTCAACTTGATTTGCGTACTAAATAGCGGAACGTATACAGGCCTTCCTCACATATGTTTAAATGACAAATCTCGTTTTTCATTTGCCTTTCTACAACTGGGCGGATTTCATTAAACTTTTCTAACTTTCGATCAGGGTTGCAACGATCAAAAAGGCAGCCATTGGTTTTTGTTCGCTGAGCTGGGAATGCAAAATGTCATTTATTTTTTGATTGGTTGGGAACCAGCTCTACTCAGCCACAAACCTTTCTCAAAAACATGCCTGTGGAAACATATATTTCCTATCAAAATCACAACGACTACGCTGTGCCATCAAGAATTGCTTGTTCTACTGCTGTCAGCGATCGGACTGGGTGGAGAATGAATTTCACTGTTCGGTTACTTCTATCGCAGATCAATCGCCCTAGTGAAGTGACTCATTAAGCCTTCATCGGGAGGTTTATTCGGTGAAATAGCAGTTTTAAGGTGGCTATGTTCGTTTAGATGACGCTTGTTTCAACAATTGATGGATGTTACGTTGTACAGGTTCCTCGTGAAACCATCCTGTTTTTCCCAATAATTTTCACTGCCTTTCTTAACACCTTTCTTACTGAATGCCCCGAAATTTATACATAACAATGGTTGCATTAGAATTGAGGAAATGTCTCCCGATTTCCATCTTTACGTGACTGAAAGGTTCTGTCGGGTCAAATAAAATCGATAAAACAGAGTACTGTATTCTCACCAAGCGCTGATGCAGATTTAGTTCGGAATGCTCCAGTTTACCGTTCACTTTCCTCTAAGATATCTAGACTCTCCAATCGTGCCGGTTTCGGACCTGTCCCTCAGTGTTGCTGCATATTTACGGTGGGGGTGGCGTTGGTGTCTGCACAGCCTGGAACAAGAAATTTTGATACGTGTTTGGATAACAGGCGTGACCCATTCCTGTTTGTCTAACTCATCGCACCGCATAAACAGCACAGCCTGGTGTTGACGACAAATTAAGAACGATCATGACTGGGTGGATCTCAATGGCTTTTGTGTAACAGTATGTCCTGTACAATGGAATGCACAACAGTGTAGCCGCACGACACGTCAGGAAGACGTATGTTACTGAAGTGATAAACCTTAATTTCATCGTCTGTGCACTGAATGCACTAGTGTTTACAGTTCAAGGAAGAAGGAAAGGACGGACGCACCCGATCGATATATGAACTGCGCCGGATGATTCTTCTACCCACGTACGCAACCGCTTAATCATTCTTGGTCACACATTTGGGAATTTGGAGACAGATGTTAGCAGTAGGAATTTTTGAAATTATTATTACTGCGTCCGTGTAGTATATATGTAAGTTTGTTTTCGTAATGATATTTTGAGGTCTTGGCTGTTTTGTCCTATCCTGTTATGCTACTTATTCAAACTCAGTTGTAGAATAAATCGGTGGTACTCACGCCTACAGGCAATCCCCTGATGAATACATATGGGGTCCAGCAGTTACCACGTAGCTTTTTTAAATTGCAGCTAAGTCCTTTTGAATACCTTGGCTCTCTATATCCCAAAAGCATGTATACCAGGAAGCGTAAGGTTCGCATTCCGAACGTAATCAAAGTAGATACCTAAGTGGTTAGAAAGTTTAGCATTTTCGCTCTATTCACTTCCACACTTCCAAACCAGTTGTAACACAGTAAGGAAACAAAACTTTACAACATTTAGTGTCCATGAAGATTACCATGGTGTTTTTGACCGAGCTGAAGTTGAAAGGATGTTTATCTGGGTAAATAGCCAAGGAAGCGGATCACGGTGAAACCTGAATAATGCGAAGCTTAATTGGCAAATCGATTTTGTAATTACTCTACAAAGTCACTGGCTTCGAACTGGAATGAAAGCGATGAGTTGACTGAT